ATAAACAACATTCTTATCAATGGAGAAAAGATTGAAGTTGTCAAGGACTTCATTCTTCTTGGATCAACTATCAACACTCACTGAAGCAGCAGTCAAAAAATCAAACGATATACTGCAGTTGGCAAATCTGCTGCACAAGACCTTTTTAAAGTGTTGAAGAGCAAAGATGTCAGCTTGAGGACTAAGGTGTGCCTGACCCAGGCAATGGTATTTTCAATAACCTTGTATGCATGCGAAAGCTGGACATTGAAAGACCATAGGATAATTGATGCTTTTGAGTTATGTTGTTGGAGGAGAATATTGAAAGTACCATGGGCTGTCAAAAGAACCAATAGATCCGTTTTGGAAGAAGTGCAGCCAGAGTGCTCCTTGGAGGCCAATATGGCCAAACTTGGTCTCTCACACTTCAGACATATTGTTAGAAGGGACCAGTCACTGGAGAAGGATATCATGTTTGGTAGGGTGGAGGATCAGAGAAAAAGAGGAAGACCCCCCAACAAGATGGATTGGCCAGGTGGCAGAATCAATGAACTAAAGTGTGGCAACAGTAGTGAGGCTGGCCCAGGATCGGGCAGTGTTTCGTTCTGCTGTGCATAAAGTCACTATGGGTCGGTATCAACTTGATGGCACCTAACAACAACAACAATGATGGGATAAATAGGCCCCATTTTATCTTTAAAATCTACCTGTAACACTAACAAGCAAATGCACTAAATGCTGTAAAAAGCTTGGCCAGAACTTTGCTGATAAAAGAGATTAGACTGTCGGGCAGGAGGCAGGCTTATAGAATGTGCCTTTGGTTGTTTAAATGATTATATATTCCTGAGTATTTTTGTGTACATCAAAAAACAGAAAAAAAAAAAGAGGTAACAGAAGCAAACACTGTCATGAAGGAGACTGTAATCATTGCAATGAAACAAAATACGACAGGATGAGTGCAAAACCGATGTTTTCCCTTGCAGACTGTCACTCAATTAACAATAGAAGCTTTAAAAAAAAAAAAAGACTGAGGGTTAAAAGGAGATAGCATACAGAGATATGAGTAGCTCAGGCATCTAGGCCAATGGACTAAGAAAAGCTATATGCCAACAGGCAGGAGGATGCCTTTCTAAATGTGCCCTTTGGACATTTAAATGAATATATATTTTTTGGTGAATGTGAACAACAAATATATTTGCTTTGTTCATTTGTAAAAAGTAAGATATAAAACGGAAGCTTGGGGTGGAAGCAGGATAACTGTTGTTACAGGGAGGGAAGAGTAATCATTGAGATGAAATAAAATGTATGAGTGGTTGAAAGGAAACAAACAAAAAAAGAGTCAATTAGGATAGAGAAGTAAGCAAAGATAGGTGAAGACAGATGTCATGATACATGAATATCACCAAAGCCAGTACCTTTAATTCAGATTTGTAGCCTCATAAATTGGAAAAAGAATAAATTTGTTTTAAAGCCAAAAAAAAAGTTAGACTTTAAGATTAATCTTCTTTGACAAATTTATAAATAAATTTTCAGAAATGCATTAAAGGGAACCCTAAAAAACTAATTCTACACAGACTTGATTGTCATAGCACCTTAATAATGAAAGGACCAAACAAGTTTTATTCCTAATTCTGCTTCTATCTTAGATCTGGGTAAGACAAGACCTTCAAATAATTGATCTGAGTAGACGAGCAGTTTTCAGGGAAAAAAAAACTAAAGGTATAGAAACTATTATCTTCTTTATTATATACTTTTAAAAATTATTATACAAAGTAGTCTTCAAAATATTTCTGAGCATCATGATTTAACAGTATAGAGGCTGTGTTATGAGAGAAAATAAAATTATTAAGATGGTATAAGAGGTCAGACTGTCCTGTGTTAAACATGTGATAACAACACAGAAGATGCTGCCATAGAAACCTGACCTTCACATTTCAAATGAAAACATAAAGAAAGTGTTTTTAATGAGAAAATAAACATACATTATTTCCCCTTCGAGTACATGAAAATATATGTATTTTTTTTAAAAGCAGTTTCCTTTTTTGCCCCCTTTTCTTTTTAACTGCCTTCACCCTTCAACCAAGTTAGCACGTGAGTACACTCTATCCAGTGAGTAATTCTCCCTTCCCTCCCACCCCTGGTAACCATCATAGAAAGTTTTTATTACAGAATGATAACCTTTCCTTAATTTTTTTTACAATAGTTATCTAATAAAATATCTGGTCCTTTGAGATTGACTAATGTCCTCCAAGTTCCTCTACATTATACTGTATTTAGCAGACTCATCATTATCTTCAATGTTGCATATTTCATCGTGTGTACAAACCAAAGTTGGTTCAACCATTCCTCTACTGATAGACATCGAGGTCGTCTCCATCTTTTTGCTATCTATACTGCAATGAACACAGGTATGCATATACTCACAATACAGCTCTTATTTCTTCAAGTAGAGTCATATGGTATTGCTATTTCCAACCTTCTGAGAAATCACCCAACCATTTTCCACCAGCAGCAGTATACATGGGTCACTCTTTCCACACCCTTACCAGTATTTCTTGTTTTGTTTTTTGAAACTTTGCTATTAATGCTGGAATAAGATGGCATGTCACTGTTGTTTTGATTCAGGCTGTGAACCACAAGGTCAGCAGCTCGAAACTACCAGCTGTTCCGCAGGAGAAAGATGAGGCTTTCTGCTCCCATAAAGATTTACAGCCTCGGAAATCCTGCACAGGGTCGCTACAAGCGGAATGGACTCCACGGCACATAACCACCACCACCACTTCATACTTGTTGCTGTCTGTATGTCTTCTTTGGTGAAGTGTCTGTTTATGTCCTCTGTCCATTTAATTGGATTATTTGACTTCTGAGATATTGAAATGTTCTGTAAATTTTAGATAGTAGTCCCTTTGTGTGCTATCTCACTCCCCAACATTTTTTCCCAGTCTGTGGATTCTCTTTTTACTTTTTTGGTGAAATCTTTTGAAGCACTTAAGTGTCTAATTTTTAGGAGGTCCTAAGGAGCTCTGGTAGTGATTACGAATTGGGCTTCTAACCTCAAGGTTGCCAGTTCGAAACTACCAGCTGTTCTGCGGGAGAAAGATGAGGTTTTCTGTTCCCTTAAAGATTTGCAGCCTCGGAAACCCAGTACAGGGTCGCTATGAGTCGGCACTGACTCCACTCCACGGTACTCAACAGCTAGAAGCTCCGGTTAACGTAATGGTTATGAATCGAGCTGCTAACCACAGGGTCAGCGGTTTGAAACTACCAGCTGTTCCATGGGAGAAAGATGAGGCTTTCTGCTCCTGTAAAGATGTACAGCCTCGGAAACCCTGTACAGGGTCGCTATGAGTTGGAACCGACTCCACGACACATAACCACCACCAACAAGCATCTATATTTTACTTCTACTGTTTGTGTGTTTTCTGTTATGTTTAATAGTGTATTTATGCCATGAATCACAGCACTTTATTTTTTCACTGATGATCTTTATGGTTCTAGGTTATATATTTATGTCTCTTATCCATGTTGAGTTCATTTTTGTATATGATATGAGATATATACCTTGTTTCATTCTTCTGCAAACGGACTCCCAGTTTTGCCAGCTCTATTTTTTTTTTTTTAATTTATATTGTGAATTGAGTGATAGTTTACATAGGAGAACATCAGCTTTACATTCATCCTATCTTATTTCATTTCAATGCAATGATTATAATCCCTGGCATGCATCATCAAATAACCAAAGGGTACACCCCACAAGCCTGCCCCCTGGCTGTCAGAACACAGCCCCCTCCCTTCCTGAGTCCTGAGTCCTGAGTCCCCAGCCGCTCCATCTCTCCATATCATTATTTCTGCCTCCATCTCTGGCGTCACTGCTTCTCTGGATAGGGTCCCACACTCTGCTCTTCTCCCTTGATGGTCCCAGGGTCCTCCACTCCTGGACTGCAAAATCAACCACCTCCCTCCTTTTGTTACAAAATGTAACAATGTCATTTGCATCACTCACAGTCAGTCCTAATAGCAATTATTCACTATTGAACCATGAAAGTCTTATCCCATCTCCTTTCATCAGCCCCATCCAGACAGGTTGGAAACCACGCAGTGGAGATTCTACCTTCCCCTGCATCCTCTAGAACTAGGCTCCCTCTTGAAAACTTGTAAGCCAGTCACTTCTTGCCTTTGTAGCACCCCCATTTTGGGTAGCCAATGACTAGGTTGCCCATCCCTGTCAACCCTGTGTATAGAGGGGGTGGGAATGATCCTTGTTGTAAAGATTCATTCCCTCTTTTGAGCTACTACATCCATAAGCATAGGTCAAGTTCATCAGATTGTAGTGAATTACTCTTTTTTTCCTCTTCTTTCTTCCTCTAGTTGAGTTCTGATCATCCAAGCATTGAAGTCAGGTTAAATAGGTAC